ATATAAGATGTTGATATTACACATTATCTACAGTAGTTCCACAGGTAACACTACTATATAAGATGTTGATATTACACATTATCTACAGTAGTTCCACAGGTAACACTACTATATAAGATGTTGATATTACACATTATCTACAGTAGTTCCACAGGTAACACTACTATATAAGATGTTGATTCTAGATGTTATCTACAGTAGTTCCACAGGTAACACTACTATATAAGATGTTGATTCTAGATGTTATCTACAGTAGTTCCACAGGTAACACTACTATATAAGATGTTGATTCTAGATGTTATCTACAGTAGTTCCACAGGTAACACTATTATATAAGATGTTCATACTAGATTTTAACTGTCTTCCTAAGACAGTGGCTCAATTAGCAGCCTATGCAATCAGTAATTCACCTTTACGTAGACACTGGACTGAATCAAGTGTAAATATGTATATGTTTATCAAATATTAGGAGTGGAAGTAACATTTGTATAAGTTTTCTATTTTAATAAAAGGTTTTTGTCTGTGTTGCTTAAGCCTTTAATAGTTTCTGCAACAATTGTCTGTGTTGCATAAGCCTTTAATAGTTTCTGCAACAATTTAGGAGTAAAATGAGGTAAAAAAGTTAGCATTTTCCTACACTGAAAATGTATTTCTGATAGATGCTTACCTCCCGTCACAAAATAGCTTTTCTTGTCTAGCACTGCCCTCTATCAGTACAAATTTTCAAAGCACACCACTAGACTTTTGTCTCCCACTTCTGCATATCCACATGTAAATGTTCATGTAGCAGCTCTCCACCAATAGGAGCGAGACAACACTCCTATCACGACCAGCAACCTATTCACATTCATTAATCAGAAGACCTACATCATATATCATTAGAAATGGGGAGGCTTGTTGGGAAATGTGTAGGAAAATATCAACTTCTGATACAATATCTTACCTCTTTTTACAAAATAGCTAGAATTCCACACTGAATTGGTGGAGAGCTGATAAAAAAAAATCCCCCTTTAAAAAATGCCCAAAGAGAGATCGTGAGGTGTGGAACCAAAAGAGAAAACATTGCACCTCAGTGGGGGGAGACCATAACACATCTGATCCAGATATACTCTTTGCTCTTTTATGACAGTGTCTTGAACATAAAAGGCAGAAAAACATGAAGGAATCCCAAAATATGAATGACCGATGAATGGAACTCCAGGCTGTCGAGTGGTTACGGTGCAACACACCATAGTGGTAGTTTGACCTCATGCAACACCAGGCATTATCTGGAATGGTATGTCAGATCTGCAGTAGGTAGAGAATCACCTATCTCTTCACCTTGAAATTTGTAGGGAAGACAAGATTCCGTACCAAAATCCGTCACCACATTTCCAACACAACCAGCATCCAGCAGATGGTAGGAAGATAAAAAGCCTCTGGCAGGATGACATCTCTGGTCCAAAACCTGACAGCAATGGATATAGTACTTCCAGTCCACAGTAAGAGAAGGATACCCAGCTGTACACAAGCAGGAAAAATGTGCTGCATCCAGCAGATGGTAGGAAGAGGGACTGCAAACCTGGGGTGCATCTCCAGTCCAAAACCTAGTAGCAGTGGGCATTTGTCATCCAGTCTGTGGTAGGATGAGGGATACTGGTCAGCATACATGTGAGAACTTACTTAGCTGGACTATCTCAAACCAATGTCGGACCCACTGGGAATGTACATCCAGAGGATGGTAGGAAGGAGGAATGCCATGGTAGAAAAAAAAAACAATCGGTCAGATATATAAACAGGAATATGGCATAGTGCTACAAACAAAACCTGGCAGCATCTAGATTTGTACATCAGGTCCACAGTTGGAAAGGCATCACACCATCTACACCTGCAGAATACCACCACCCTACTATCAACTGAGTGCTATGTTTCATCATTCATGAGGTCAGGCCTCCATGGTCCACCACCCCAGTGGCTGGGAACTGGTGAGGACTGCCATACTTCACTAGAAGAAAGGGTAGAAAAAGCGTTGGAGAGTCCAGGGAACAGCATCACCAGTGATTGGTGGAAAAATGCATTGGAGAGTCTGGAGGTCTGCATCACTGGAGATTGGTGGAAAAATACATTGGAGAGTCTAGAGGTCTGCATCACTGGAGATTGGTGAAAAAATACATTGGAGTCCAGAGGATAGCATCACCAGAGATTGGTGGAAAAATGCATTGGAGAGTCCCGAGGACCAAATCAACGGAGATATTGCACAAGGTGACTGCAGAGCTACCACAGAGTCAATCAACCAAAACCAGAAGGCATCTGGAATTGTATATCGGGTCCATGGTAGGAAGAGACTTAACACTATGGTGGGCAACAATCTCTGACTGCCTTACTCATGTGTGTCCACAAGTGTACAGTCCAGGATGAACATATTTAAGATGGAAAAAAACCATTAGAGAGAACTTCTAGCAGTCCGACTGAACACTCCATCTTTATGGTGTACGTAACTCAAACCTGCAATGAGATTGTTTAGTCATAGATAACAATAAAAAGGAGGCACACAACCAACACCTGGCAGCATCTGGAATTGTACATCTGGTCCACAGTAGGAAGGGCAACAATTTAACTAACATTGAGCATGGTCACAGGATGGATAGTGCAGATTTAAAAAAAAAGTATATCTGGTCAGGTAACACTTGACACAGAGTGGGATTCATAAAATAATAGCAAAAAGGCTCCTAAAAAAGTAAGAAAAATTTGAAATAGAAAAAAAACAACCTTTTACAATACCAAAACATGAACATTTGAATAAAAAGTAAGAAAAATCAAGCAAAAACCAACACGTTTGTACAGTACTACTGCCAATTGAGAGTGCCAACTGATTAATGAGTGGCACTAGTCATGATAGGAGTGGTGGTGCACTTCTACTGGTGGAGAGCTGCTGTATGATAATTTACATTTGGATATGCAGAAGCGTGAGGTAGAAGGCTAGTGGCATGTGTTGAAAATTTGTGCCAAGAGAGGGAAATGCTAGTTAAGAAAAGCTATTCTGTGAGAGATGTAAGATATCATATCAGAATATTAGATTCTTCCGAGCATATTTTTAGTCAATACAAGCCAATAGAGGGAAATGCTAGTTAAGAAAAGCTATTCTGTGAGAGATGTAAGATATCATATCAGAACATTGGATTCTTCCGAGCATATTTTTAATCAAATAAAAGTCTTAGATTTCATTTTAGAGTACTTTAATCCCTTCAGTTTCCTTGAAATCAATCTCTAGAGCTGCTTTTATTTGTTATGAGTACAGCTAATTTTATGGTGCAACTTATGGAGTTACCCTATGCACCTGATGTTGTTAATATGGATGGAAGTTTAGAAATAATGCAAAGTAATTATTAATATCTTTATATTTTACAATACAGACTGGAAAAAAACTAGAAAGACACGTGTGTTGAGAAGTCCTTAAATCGAACAATGTAAATACTGCCTACTTGGTACTCTACAATAAGTTTTAACTTTTCATACACTTTCACAAGTCCTTCACCCAACCATAGGTCCATGCTGGTTTGAAGCTAAACAAACTTGAATTAATTGCAAATAATAACGAGAAATCATAATGTCAGTGTTTCGATTACTTGGATAATCAGAAACACTAATTTTAATTAGTTGATTACTTTGATTACAACATTAATTGATTTGATCATCATTTTAATTGATTAATTTGTGTGACACTAGTCGATTCTAGTCCTGTATTTCAATCTGGTAAATCCTATAAAACTCACTGTTTGGTGGTGTTAAGATGTGTCCTGTATCTCTACACCAGTTAATAGGATGGATGTAGGGTGAGGTTGGGTCAACCCAGTAGTCGTACATGTCAACCCATCCGTCAAAATGGACAAGGAATCGAGAGTCTAACACGTCAGTCACGGTAGCTACACAAACAAGAGTGGTGTTCTTCTTGTCGACAGCTTCCAGCTTCATTCCAACTTGAAATCCATGAGGCGTAACTTGCTGTAAACAATACGTAACTTATATAGGATAAAGCCTTACTTTTTAACAATATTAGGACTCATTATTTTGATTATAGTAAAAATAATGAACAAGGTATACGGTTCTTTATACTCTCGAACTTCAATTAAAAACCTGGATAAGACAACTGTTGGAGTTTATGAATGGTGCTCACATTAACAACATAAGCAACAAACACTCTTCACTTCTGTAAAAACTACAGTCTATCATAAATTCAGAAACAATACCTGTGATTTTTTACGTGAGAACAGATGTTTCGGAGCACTATGGGCTTTACTCAGCTTCAAGTACTGATTCCATACAAAATCTTTCATGCTCCATCCTGTTTAGAAAGGGTATAAAACAAATGAGTGTAAGTGTATGTATTTTACTAAGCTGTGATCACTAGTCTAATAGATATCTTAGTGCATACACAGAGCTTCCTCTAGACTTAATAGTTTCTAGGTTCAAAGAAAACAGTCCAGAGGGGTGAGGATAGGTTGTCCCTGTGTTAAACACTGGGAAATTCGGCTTTTGTGGCCAAGTGTTTTGTGTCAGATGATGCTGATATCTGCTATAAAGGGGAATTGTGGTCCGATATCACACGATGATATATTCACAGTCCAGAGGGGTGAGGATAGGTTGTCCCTGTGTTAAACACTGGGAAATTCGGCTTTTGTGGCCAAGTGTTTTGTGTCAGATGATACTGATATCTGCTATAAAGGGGAACTGTGGTCCGATATATATAAAGGGGAACTGTGGTCCAATATCACACGATGATATATTCAATGTAAAAGTGACTCGCACTTTTGACTTCTATAAAGTAAAGTTTTTACTGACACTTGGAGGATTCGATGTTGTGTGTATGGCTTGGTGTGGTTTTCATCTAAAAAAGTGACCTTAATTTCTTGACGACCTAATACTTTTTATTTTACTTAATTATTTTTGTATCGAACTTTGCAACTACTCTTTATAAGGATAAAGCAGCAGTTTTGCATTTGAAATATACACTGCATACGCAGGAACATACAAAGTCAATAAACACATATGGTCTATCTGGTAAATTACAAATGTAAAAACATACAGTCTATCTGGTAAATTACAAGTGTAAAAACATACAGTCTATCTGGTAAATTACAAATGTAAAAACATACGGTCTATCTGGTAAATTACAAATGTAAAAACATACAGTCTATTATGTTTTTACATTTGTAATTTACCAGATAGACCGGATTGTATGTTTTTACATTTGTAATTTACCAGATTTGTAATTTACCAGATAGGTAAAAACATACGGTCTAT